TTTGAAATATCAACAATCTCAAAAGGGGTCGCAAAAAGAATATGCTGATAAAATGACTGTATTCAAGGCAAGCGACCATTTACAGAACCACCAAGAGTGAAATCATATTGGAAGTGATATCGGAGTAGCGAATACATTCAACAGCTTATATTGTTAGAAGTGCCGGAGGATTTTATCGAATTCAGACCTACTGAATTTATACTCACATTATAGGAAAATGACAAATGTGCGAATATAAACATCGGCCCTGGCCGAGTGCACAATGAATAATTGTCATCATTATTTAGAAACACGCTTGGCGAATAATGATAATTATCACTTGAAAGGTAGCTCGCTTCACAGAATATTCAAGTAAAAAGTTCTCGGGAAACTTTACCGATCAATCATCACAATAAAGAGGGAAGCCAAGTAGCCAGAAGCAATACACATAAAAGCATTACTTCTTGCTATTTTTGCTAAGTGTGGTGCTAAGCCAGTCGAGACCTTCATATAGGCCGCCTCCACCAGTTGCGCACGTCGCCTGAATGTACCAAGTCCTGCAGCGGAGATTATGTAGGCCAAGTTTTTCTGTTATCTCAGCAGCATTCATAGCATTCGGCAAATCCTGGAAAAATAAAGATAATTATTATTACCTGCTTATTAGCAAAGACAAGAAGCACCGCATCCCGGAGCTCATCTTCGCTGAGCATACGATTGAGTTCCTCTCGTGCTTCATTTATCCTCTCCCGATCATTGCTATCAACAACAAAAATCAGACCTGAAAAATTAATTTATATTGATTACCCTGTGTATTTTGGAAGTAGTGTCTCCACAAAGGTCGGATCTTATCCTGACCACCAACATCCCATACAGTAAAACTGATATTCTTATATTCCACTGTTTCCACATTAAAACCGATGGTGGGTATTGTTGTAACAATCTCTCCAAGTTTCAATCTGTATAAGATAGTAGTTTTTCCGGCTGCGTCAAGACCGACCATAAGAATACGCACCTCTTTTTTGCCGAAAAGGCGGTCGAATAGAGAGGATAAGAGGTTCCCCATTGTAAAAAATCTATCAGAATAAAAGAGACGCGAAGCTCTGTTGTCCGAATATGGACAAAAAGTTTGACCAGTTGCTGAGACTAACTAAGTAAAGGACGCTAACGTCACCAGGTTTGAAGAGGCAAACAAAAGTTCTGGGGTTTTAATAATTAAAACGAATAGCACCGCGTAGAGCAAAAAGCACAGACAAAATTCTC